TGCTCACACAGCAAATACTGTTTCAGTTTCCAAACAGCCCTCAACTCCTGTCACACACTGACAGGACGCTAGCCAGATGAATACCGATGGATGCTGGTAGGCTGAGGCAGAATCCGCCCCCCCTTATTTTCCTTCCAAAAAACTAAGCCCCACCACATAGTTTCGTGCTAGTGCTTGCATAAGCACGACCAGACCTGGCAGAAGTTTAGTAAGAACTGACCCCCCCGCCCTCAGCCCCAAATCAGGCAGGAATCCCACAGGTCGATCCCCCATACCCAACTTTCGATTCACCTCTGCACCATCCAGGCAGATGCTCAACAGGGGCAGCTGCCTTCCCCAGCGGTCGATCAAAACAGGGGATGGAAGCTCTGCACCTGTTGAACTTCCGCCTGCCTTGCTAGGAAAAGAACAGCCTCCGGCACCGCCCTCAGACCCGATCTTTATACCTTGCAGAGACCATTCCCACGTTTCAACCCGCACCCGTGTTCAGCGACACGCCACTCCTCCTCGTGACCCTTCTCCACCCCTTTTGCAAAGACGGGTCTTTCCGGCTTCCGGCTCCATGCCCGACTTCTGGCAATCTCTCTTCCGGTTTAGGCAAGACACCCCCCCCCAACCCACCCCCTCCCGGCGCTCGTTTGCGTTTGTCGTCCTCCCTCGCGTCTCTGGAATTAAGTCTCGCGAGACAATCAAAACCAGGCGGCCCGGCGGAGACCAAGGAGCTGCTCTCGGCTGCCGCCCGCGGCGCTCTGCGCTACTGCAGGCGCCTTTGCAGATCGCCTGCGCGTTATAACAGAATAGGCTGGCTGGCTGGCTGGCTGGGGAATTCTGGGAATTGAAGTCCCCTTTAAAGCAGGGTTCTTCAAACTTGACAGCTGTAAGACTTGTGGACTTCAACTCCCAGAATTCCTCCTCCAGTCATGCTAGCTCGGGAATTCTGGGAGTTGAAGTCCACAAGTCTTAAACTTGCCAAGTTTGGAAGACCCTTGCCTTAAAGTTTTCGGGTTTGAGAAACACTGCACCAGCTCAGTTTAAAACCATAGATACAAGGTAGTCCTTGACTTATGACCACAGCTGAGCCCAAAAGTTATGTTGCTAAGTGAAACAAGTGGACTTTTGTTCAGTTAGTAACAGGGCTGTGAATCCGGCTTCCCCGTTGATTTTGCTTAGCAAGAAGTTCGCAAAAAGGGATCACATGACCCCTGGACACTGCGACCGTCATAAATTCGAGTCAGTCGCCAACTTTGATTATGTGACGCTGTAACGGTGGTAATCAGTAGTTGGATTCAAATAATGTAACAAC